TTTATCTCCTTTCACCTTGCTGCCAAAGTTGCTGTTGCAAGAAATGTGCCGAAGAAACTTGTCTTGGGATGAGCCTATACCACAGACACTTCTACAACAATGGACCGGATGGCTGTCGGACTTGGAGAAGGTGGTGAAGCTCAAGGTGAGCCGCTGTATCAAGCCAAGGGGCTTTGGAAGATCTGCCAGTGCACAGCTACATCATTTTGCGGATGCTAGCAGCTATGGTTATGGCACAGTGTCCTACCTAAGGCTGGTGAGTCAAGAGGAGCGAGTGCATGTTGCCTTTATGTTGGGCAAAGCCAGGGTTGCGCCATTAAAACAGACAACTATCCCTCGTCTTGAGCTCACGGCTGCAGTGTTGGCTGTTAAGGTCGATAGAATGTTGAAGAAGGAGTTGTTGCTGCAATTGGAGGAGTCCCACTTCTGGACAGACAGTCAGACTGTGTTGAAATACATCAACAATGAAACGAAACGCTTTCATACCTTTGTTGCTAACAGAGTGGCTGCAATACGGGAAGCAACAAGTCTCAGCCAGTGGAAGTATATCAGCTCCAAGAACAATCCCGCTGATGAAGCCTCCAGGGGTCTGAGTGTGGATAACTTTCTTGCCTGCAAGAGGTGGTTGGAGGGTCCTGACTTTCTCCAAAGAACGGAAAAGGATTGGCCAAGACCTTTGGAGCCGCAGTCCATCTCTTTAGACGACCCAGAGGTCAAAAGGGACGTCCTGGTAAACGTGATTACGTACACAGAAGATGCGACCTCTAAGCTCATGACTTACTTTTCTGACTGGTCTAAACTTAAAGTCTCTGTGGCTTGGTACTTAAGGCTCAAATCTATTCTTTTGGAGCTGAGCAGAGAAAGGAAGTTGATTCTGGCTTCTTTAGATCCTACTGGCTCATCTTTGGAGGAGAGGATGAGAGAGGTTAGAGGAGCAATTGGTAAACAACCACTTTCTGTGAGTGAGCTCTCTAAAGCCGAAGCTGCTATTATACATTTCAGTCAGCAAGTAACATTTCAGGAAGAAATCTCAATGTTGAAAAGTGGAGCATCGTTTGTGAAGAAAACAAGCAACATTTACAAATTAGATCCAGTGCTCAGTGACGATTTGTTGAGAGTAGGTGGAAGACTTGGCCGTGCAGCTTTGCCTGAAGAGCTCAAGCATCCTGCGATTCTTTGTAAGGGGCAACATATATCTAGTCTCATTTTGCGGTCCATACATCAACAGCTTGGGCATGCTGGACGGAACCATATGCTCTCGACTTTGCGGCGCAAGTATTGGGTTACCAACGCCAACTCTGCTTGCCGGAGAATAATATCTGAGTGTGTGGTCTGTAGAAGACATCGTGGACAGCCAAGTGAGCAGAAGATGGCTGATCTGCCCAGTGAAAGAATAAGTCCAGATCTGCCTCCCTTTACCAACGTCGGGGTGGATTATTTCGGACCCATTGAAGTCAAGAGAGGGCGTGCTATGGCCAAAAGATATGGGGTCATTTTCACCTGTATGGCCAGTAGAGCTGTGCATTTGGAGGTTGCTTACACTCTGACCACGGATTCTTGTGTCAATGCTATTAGGAGATTCATTTGTCGAAGAGGTCAGATCTGCAGTCTACGATCAGACAATGGTACCAACTTTGTTGGTGCAGAGCGAGAGTTAAGAGAAGCTTTAGCAGCCATTGATTACAGCAAGATTCATGGCGCTCTCATAAAAAGGGGCATCAATTGGATTTTTAACACCCCGGCTGCATCACATCATGGCGGCGTTTGGGAGCGACTCATTAAGATAGTCAAGCGAGTTCTGTATTCTGTTCTGCAGCAACAGTCTTTGGATGACGAAAGCTTCCATACCATTCTGTGCGAGGTGGAAGCTATTCTGAATGACCGTCCGATAACCAAGGTGTCTGACGATGTTAACGACTTGGAAGCACTCACACCTAACCACATTCTTTTGCTAAAAGGAAAACCTGTTCTTGCCCCTGGAATCTTTCAAGCGAATGATCTTTACATTAGAAGACGATGGAGACAAGTCCAGTATCTTTCAGATCTGTTCTGGAAAAGGTGGATAAGGGAGTACCTGCCATTGTTACAGGAACGTCAAAAGTGGGCGAGGCCGCAAAGAAGTTTTGTAATGGGAGACATTGTCATCATTATGGATCACACTGCTCCGCGTGGATCATGGATTATGGGAAGAGTGACAAAGACTTACCCAGACAAGAAGGGCTTTGTACGTGCCGTGCAGTTGAAGACTAAGACAGGGCAGTTGGAGCGCCCTATTTCCAAGCTTTTCCTGTTGCAAGAAGCTGTGTAATGGTCATGACCCAACGTTGGTTAACATCCTATCCAGAAGAAAGAAGATCTGAAGACTTTTTGTGTGTCTCCCTGTTTTTGCAGTTTAATTGGTCACACTTTCCCAATTAGGGGCCGGTGTGTGGGAGCCATTAGTTATTGTTGATGTTGTGGTGGTTGTCTACACTAGAGGGCAGTGTGCTTGTGCTACAGTATCCAAGTTCACGGTGGCACAGGCGCGCCAGCTAATTAATACACAGGTGTAGCGGGTGGGGAATTATGCTAGGGTGGCGGGGAGATCACACGGTTTTTACCGCTGGCACGCCACAGCTAGATTAGTCCTCACGTTTGCATATACTTTGAACTCTGTAAACTATTTTTCTATTAAATGGGAACACCACCCAAAGACGCTAAACGTTGTGGACTTTAAATTCATCCGAAGTGGACAAATAGCGCGTCAAAAACAGGATCTAGCCCTCACCCTGCTGAGTGTCTGATTAATGTTAAGACAGTCACTACAAACAGTATATCGTTAAAGATAACTTGGACGTGGCTGTGGTTACAAGAGGTAAAAACGATATAAATACGGTTCGTTTTCTCACACAAACCGCTCATTTCGTGTTTTAGGCCATCAATGTTACATTTATGAGTCATTAAATCATTATTAATTTGGACTTCTCTGTGCATGCTCTTTGAGGTGGTGACCATGGGCCTCCATTATTTGACTGACAGACAAGAACGGTTTGACCTAAAAATATCAAAATTGAAACTGTGGAAACAAAGACTATCTTGGATGCCCTTGAGGTAAGCTAAAACATACCAAAAATTAATTTCAAAGTGAACTATCCCTTAAGGTGTGTGTGCCTATAGCACAGTTTTATTTTTAATGTTTTATCATTTATACAAAGTCATCAAAACTGACTCATGGCATCAAAACTAATTATGTTGTGACCAGAAATGTGGAAAATAAGCAAAACTGAACTGCATGGCATTTTTTAAGCATTTGAAACTCATTTGCAAAACCAGTTTATTGCAGTTATAGCACCATTGCTCAGTAAGGCTGAATTTGTGACATTTTCACTTGTAACTGAAGTTGAATAATGAAATAAATTAAACAGGTCAATTTTTTGTTGTTGTTTTTCTGAGACATTTCAATGTATTTTGATGTATTTAAGTGGGTGAAAAAACCCCGCCTTAATCTTGTATTTGCGTCAAAATGGCCACCCATAGAAATGAAAGGGAAAAACTGTAATTTAGAGCATTCTAAAATAAGCCAAAATAAGACACCAGGTGACAGCAAAGTCACTTCATGACCACATTAGAAAACAATTATTTTATGAGGTGACAATTTCGTATGAATTTGGAAAACTTTTAGAAAAAAATGTGAGCACTGTCAATAGCTGTGTCCATTCAAAGTTGCACATTTAATGTGCACAATTGGAACATTGCATAAAACATTTGCGAATAAAACACGGTTTCCATCTCATGTGTTCAAGAGGGGGGGAAATCATTAAAAATCATCAAATTGGAATTGGACCATTTTCTCTGACATCATGAATCACTTTTATGATTTATAAAGACGAAACACAATAAATATTGTTATGTTATCTTAACCCTAAAACTGCATTCTGGATAAATGTGGGCAAAATAGTTTGATTTATTTTTAAAATACACTTCCCTTGTTCTGAGCAGTACAAGACTTGGCTACTTTTCCTAAGTTTGCCTCCTGAACACACTTTTTTTCACATTTTTTTTTTTTTTTACTCGATTCTACAATTTTAAGTGGGTGAAAAAAAAACCCTCCTTAATCTTGTTTTTGTGTCAAATGAATGGGAAAAAACTGTAATTTAGAGCATTCTAAAATACGCCAAAATAAGACACCAGGTGACAGCAAAGTCACTTCATCTTTAGATTTTAGCTCTAAGAACGTATTGGAATGATATTTTAATGTAGTTTTAAAAAATAAATAAAAATAAGCATAATTTACATAGAAAATGTGGTACTTTTTGAAGTAAATATTAAAAAATACCCTAAAACAAACTTTTAATGTGTTTGGGCCGCAGTTCAGAGATTTCTGTCTGTTGGATTTATTACAGCGCATGAATTAATCAGTTTCTCCCGAACTGAGATAAAAATAGAGTTGACTTTATAGTTTACACTGTGTCTCTCTGATATGAATAAAAACTGTCGTCAAATATATTTGAATAAGTTGTTATTGCTGCTTCCATAGACACCATTGTGTAGGCTATTTTAAATGTAAACTATAAATGTTTTTCTATAAATTATATGTATTTAAATGTCTGAAACCTAAAATAAACATAATGTGGTTAAAAAAACTGAACAGTTGTGATATAGCCAGTGATAGCCTATAGGCACAGACACAATATTAAAAACAGCAACATCTATTAATAATAAAAGGTTCCATTCAGCAATAATATTTTTTATAAAAATGATATATCTATTCTGCAAAATGTGTTTTGTAATCTATTCATGTTTTATTTTTAAAACATAAATTTTCAACATTTTATTGATGAATAATGAGGCTGAACGGGAATCTTTACAGCATATGAGACAGGCCGCTGTGTGTTCTATAATGACGTCACAGAGAGCGCAAGTGTTCATGACTGTACAGAGCGCGTTATAATCTCAATACAATCTTACACACTTTGTGGGTTTGTTGTAGTGGTCGTCAGTGACTGTGCTTTTACACAACGATGGGACAGCGAGGTTGTAAAGTGGATCCGATGATTGGCGAGGTGTGCGATCAACATCTGAGCACACCCCCAAAACCCAGCATCAACACGGCGGTTCAACATCCTCATCCTCGCGATGAGACTCCTGTTAATGCTGGTGAGGGAAACAGCCAAGAGAGGAGGGTGAAGGAGAAAGGAGGAGAGGTGAGGGAAGTTGAGGAGTCAGGGAGAGTGCAGGAGAGTAGAAAGAGGAAGAAGTGGTGGAGGAGGCCCTCTTTCTTCAGAGCTGCCAAAAAACAGCCCCCAGAGAGCAGCTCAGGTCAGGGAGAGGTGAAGGATGAGGGAGAGAAGAGGAAGGTAGCATGGCCAGGAAGAAGTAGTGATGGTAAACAACACGACTATCTTATGAGAATATAAATGACTAGTTCTCTACTTTGAACATGTACAAACTCGTACAATCAACACTATCACACACATTCTAATACATATCATTAATCCATAATCCACATCGATGCCATGATGAGATCTTTATTCCATGACATGTTAAAAACATTCAATGCGTCAATTTACTAATGTTAAAACTCTAAATATTCAAGATAGTCTATTCAATTAATTAAAAATGAATATTCATATGAATACGATTCTGAATGTCACAAAACACTCCTCTCACTTCTTCTGTGATATATATATTTTAATAGACTACATCTTCAGCCGCTACAGTATAAGTCATGAGCTGGGGAAAGGAGGTTTTGGTGTGGTGTATGAAGGAAGACGTTTGGAAGATGATCTTAAAGTAAGTCAAAGTATATAACACATTATCAAGCCAGCAAATGTTTGCCCTGTCTTATCGCCATATTTTACTCAAAGTCCTCTGTATCTTTTCCTTTTTTTTCATTAGGTGGCTTTGAAATATGTCACAAAGACAGAGAAAACGAAATATTTATCAATTGTAAGTACATTATAAAACATCTCATATTTCAGTGACAAATCCCTACTTGGGAAACTATCTAATGATGATAAAAACGGTTTGTATTGTAGCCTGATCATCCAAACCCCCTTCCGAATGAGATCGCCCTCACCATCCTGGCGAATAAAGGTCACAGCGTGCCAGAGATCATTAGGCTCCTGGACTGGCAGGACCACCCTGACCACTTTGTTATGGTCCTCGAATGTCCCACTCCCTGTGAGAGTCTGGCACAGTTCACGAAGCGTCACGGTGGAAGACTCGATGAAGAGAAGGCACGGCATATCATGACGCAGGTGGTTTACGCTGCGAACGTGTGCTGCCTTCGCAGAGTTCTCCACCGTGACATAAAACCGGATAACCTACTTATAAACAGCGAGACATCCGAAGTGAAGCTGATTGACTTCGGATGTGGGGACATTCTGAGGAGTTCGGCGTACAGCTCATATTCTGGTGCGTATCTATTGTCACGCAAAGCTGCAGTTTGGCACTTGTACTCCAGTCATGCTCATACATACTCATCAGACAAAACCTCTTTCCTACAGGCACAGCACCGTACTCCCCTCCAGAGTTTCATGTCAGGAGGAAGTACTACGGCAGGCAGGCGACAGCATGGTCACTCGGGGTTCTGATGTTTGTGATGTTGTGTGGACGTTTCCCAAAAGACGAAGACCTGTTCCTGCTGAAACAGAACCTCTGGTCTAAAAAGGGGCTGTCAAGAGGTGAGATCTCGAATCATCCGCAATCATAGGAAACATCTTAACATGATCAAATAGAGTAGACGTAAAGTTTAAGGTAATAATCAGACACCCCTCCCGTCTTCAGAATGCTGTCATCTGCTCGGGGCTCTCTTGCGGGAACAACCAAGTCGGCGACTTTCTCTTGGGCAAATCCTGTCCCACGACTGGTTTAAGGTAGTGAACCTAAGATCTGCTTAAAAAAGAGTCTATTTTCCCATTGGAAGAATTTGCCGAGTCAAATCGGTTCTCTTTTTCAGCCACTCCAGTTGGCGTCAGCATCTTGAGGGCTGCAATGGGAGACGCTTCCATCCCTTCCACCCCATTGATTTCAATGGAGAACTTCGAAGCCTGTTAAAAGCTGATAGCGAGGCGTACTGCGCAGGCTCAAACTGAGCCTCTCACGTGAGCAACCTGTATGTCTTAAGGCCAATTTATACTTCTGCGTAGGGTGCGCGCAGTAGGTACGGCGTAGCATACGCACAGACGCGTCCCATTCCGCGTACCCTTCGCCGTCGCCTGACGCGCACCTCCTCAAAAATGTAACTACACGTCGCGACGACGCGGACCGCAAGATCGGTGATTGGTCGGCTTGGTAGCATCGCATTTCCTCCTACGCATTTCCGCACGTACCTTCTCACGCATTTCCATCACTGTCTATGATTTCCACACGTACCATCTCCTCCGACGTCTTCTCTCATTTCTGCCTTTCAGTTTTAGTAATTTCACTAAAGTGAACTGTTTTTCCACCTCAATAAGCTCCAACTCCAACATGATTCACTCTCTTTCAATCGCTATTGCTTGTAGTAACCTAGCCGCGAGGAATCTAAACACAGTGGAACATTAAAACTCTCCGCCGCCAACTAGCGTTTCGGAGCAGTACTGCAGAGCAACAAGACCTGAACGCAGAAGTATAAATGCTCATAACGGCGTCGCCTACGTGCGTAGCCAACGCCGCACATTACGGCGTACCCTCGACGCAGAAGTATAAATTGGCCTTTACAGTAGCTGTGCCGACTCTGCCAAGTGAAATCTGAATAATTCCCTTTCCGAATCTCACAGAGACGGAGAGAGCGAGTATTAGCGGTCCATGAGCAGCAGCAGGATCAACTTGATGACTCTCTATGGGCTTCTCTCGACTTTATCGGACGTTACGCATCCACGTCCCCCCGATTGGCTGCGAGATTCTCTTCCATACGGTAATTTCTCTGCTGTGCGATGGTGAGTTGATTCGTTATGACGCAATCGTTAGCCTATTTTTTATAAAAATTGCTTCTATGGGTCCATAATGGAGCCTTTCATACATTGGTATGTTTCTTTAGAAGTAAATAATGGACAAATGAAGCCTTTCGCTGTCAAATTGATGCCAAAGTGAATGGGAGTCAATGGGACGCTAACGGCAGGTGAAGTTCGGCTACAATGGCGGCTCCAGCAAGGCTTCCACTTCCGGCTGATGGATTACCCTTGAGCAAGCCTTGTGTAGCGTAGCGTCTTGAACCTTGGTTTGAGGGAGCAGTGTTTGCGTCTGGACAGAGCCGTCTGACTAAGCATATCTGAAATAAAAAGATCTGAAATTAATGTTTACATTTCATCATTTTAGAGAGTATAACCCAAAGCAACTTACTGTATGCAGGTAAGTAAAAGCGAGAAACTTTTTTAACAGAAACACGTATTTCTGTAATCATCGAGTAATGGAGAGAACATGATATCAAATAACAGGTTTTATTCCTTCTTTTAAATATTCCTTAAATATTTAAATATTTCTAAATATTCCATCTATTTATAATGTAAAATCTTTAAGACAAAGATGTAAATATTATGAGTAATTATTGATTTGTCCTGATTATGTCAAAAACAAACAAAAGGTTTCAAAATGCTGTATAATTTCTCTTGATGTGAAATGTAGAGACATTTTAACAAAACAGGTTATTTAGAAAATAAAATTTTACTTTTATAATACTCAATTGTTTTACTAAACATGTTTCTCAGTAATCTATGTACTATTGTAACATATTTCTTTTCTGTTTGTCACAAGTGGACACAATAAAAAAAAGCTAAAGACAAGTTTATGTTTGAATGAGGTGTTTTTTATTTCTTTTGTCTTTGAAACAAACAGAAAGTTATGCATTCTTAATATTTGAACAAATTATTAAAAATGAGTTTATAAGAAAAAAAATATTTGTAAAAAAAAATAAAAAGTAACAGGGATCTCACACATTAAAAGTGCACTTGCTATAACTATAAAGCAAAGATATTTTTATGTTAGTAAAGATAACAAAGGCAAATCTGATTAAATCCACGCAGTTAGGATACGGTAAATTCCATGAATTATTTATTTACAATGAGTGATTGCAGTTTTAAGTCAGTTGTCATGTCTCTTTAAATGTAAATGCCATTACATCTAAAGACTGCTAAGTGCATGACAATGCTTTGGCAGGAAAAAATGACTGGATTTGTCCCATTTTCTCCTGTAACTGAAGTTAAAAAATGAAATAAGTTAAAACAGGTCATCAAGGTCCTTTTGAAAGTTACTGTCCAACTCTTTTCTGAGACATTCTGAAATAATTATTCATGAGTCACTGCTGAATGTGACAGTGAGACCCACAATGACTCATTTTGAAGTCATATGCTTTTTGGAGTCTTCAATTGCCTTATATCAAGTCAAATCAAGTTAATTTTATTTATTTAGCGCTTTACACAATATCAATTATAGAAACTCAACTATGGAGATTGTACCTTGTTGTTTGCTACTGAATGAACTGAAGACAACAGTATCATAATTTAGCTCAAATTTGGCTTTCATTTGTGAGGTTAGTTTTGGGGGGAGTTTCATAGAGCTTTATATTCATTATATAATGAATATGAATAATTAGTGTGTGTCTGATTGGTCCAGACTCTACAGTAGTTTTTTCACCTGATACTTTTTTTTTTGCCATGGTTGTCCTTTTATTCCTGATCAATACAATATAATTTTGTTTATATTATAAATCTATTTTACATTGCAAGACTAATCAAACCAATTTTTACACTACACTAAAAAATTAGTAGCATAGTAGAACCGTGTCGTCTGTAAGAACCCTTCATATGCAGAAGTGGTTCTTTTTGATAGAGTTTAGGGTTCTTTATTTGTTTTGAAGATTTTTTTCTTTATTTGTTATTCGCCTTTTTGTTTTTCAAATCTGTAACTGTCAGAGTCCCCTCACAATTGATTTTCTGGAGCTCAGTCATTCAATAAACCCACTCTAACTCTAAACTCAGTTGTGTATTTCAGATGCTGTCCCCATCGTCTTTAGAGAGAAACTGCCACTCAAAATACACATAATGATGGACGTAATGACATAAAAACTATTTTCATGATTTGTAGGCTAAAACTCACAACATTTTTTTTTTTGTCAAATCAACTTAAATAATTTACGTAGTTCACATAACATAATATTTTGAGTTTCTGGTGATTGAATCAATTTCCTTCATTGTATTAACTCAATTTTTTAATTTCAATGAACTTAAAATTTTAAGGCAACCAGGTTACTTCATTTTTTTAAGTTAAACCAACAATATTTTTTTACAGAGGATTGTGAAGATATTCACTGGAACTTGGTCTTCATTACATAAATAAAAAGATTAGAAAATATTATTAATAAAATAAACTATTATTAAAAAGGTTATTCACCATCATTAAGGTCCTATTTAGCACTTTCAAAGCATGGTTCTTTATGGAATCCTATTTTATTTATTTTTTTAAAGGGTTTTGCTTTTGTTAGAACCAGAAGAACCCAGATTTGGTACTTTGGTACCATTTTTCCTAAGAGTGAACATTATTTAAAATGGTAACTGAGAGGATTTTGCTTATGATACCTTGATTATAACTCTCTAAAGTCTCATTTATTAGAATTATTCACTCTGTCAGCCATCATCAAGAGTCATCAAAGGTCATCATGTTCACAAAGTCCTTGTAGAGAATAATATTTTTATCAGGATCAACAGCCGCAGACAGCATTTCATCCATCTCTTCTTGTGTGAAGGGCTCTCCTTCAAAACAGAAAGAATTCATTTTGTTAACTGAAAACTTCCTTGTGTTGAGGCTTCCTTAGCTGTGTCCCAATTCAGACAATTCATGGCTTTGTAGGGAATTACAAACCGTAAATATATTCATATATTAATATATTCCAATATATTAACGCATATAACTATAGAATCAATTCTCAATGCGCATGTGAACGCTATCAGTGTTTATCACAGGTTTGCGTTTAAAGTCTGTTTAGAGACATTCATATCCATTTTTATCATACAGTTAATGTAAATTCAGCCTCTAGTTCATAAACGCCAGAGGAGAACATGGCCACCGACTGAGCCTGGGTTCTCCCAAGTTTTGTTTTGTTTTTTTCTCCAAAATCAGTCGCCTGATGGAGTTTTAGGACACCATTAGGTCACTTGATGGCGTTTTTCGGTTCCTTGCACTGTTGGCTTTGGCTTGCTCAGTTGGGGATATTCAAAATAATTAACCAATCAATAAAACCCTTGATCAGCTCTACCAAACGTGGATGTTTTTCCACTAAGAAACGAACATGTTATTATGTTTTGATTGATATTGTGAAGCGTCTTTGATGGAATCTATAATAAATATACTTGACTTGACTAGAACTCGGGTCACCCAAAGCGCTGTTGTCCACAAGGCCACGGCTCCGACAGAAGACCTAGCAACTGTAACAGCTGTCATTGATGAGCGGCGGTAACATTTATACAAAAAATAAACTGTCTAAAAACAAAACTTCAGATTCAGAACCTGTCTAAATCTACTCGGTCCATTTATGTACATAATAAAGGGTACAAACGATCTATAAAATCACAACATTTGAATCGCTTTATATTTAGATTGTTTTAAATTTGTATCATTAGATATTCAAGCAAATTGAAACCAAAAACTTATATTTAACAGTATAATTCAAAATTTTCTCTCTCTCTCTATCAAAAAATAAATCCAGTCGTCACTGGCGTGCAATGAATTGTCTCATTGGACATACTATACCTTCTTGTGTTAAATATTTGGTCAGTTCCTCTGGTTCCAAGTGTCCTTTTTTCTGTTGATCTAAAACCTTAAAATAGAGACAACAGCACCACTCCTTTAAATAATTTACATTTCGGAAAAAAAGATAATTGCTACTTTTTTTAATCTTGTTTTCCACAAAATTCTGACTTTTTTTCTTGCAAATTTCAGTTTATATCTCACACTTCTGACTTTTTTTTATATCTCACACTTATGATATATAAACTCGCAATTGTGTGTCATAAAGTCCAATTCTGAGGGGGAAAAAATTGACTTCATATTTCACAATTCTGACACAATTTGCGACTTCATTACATGCAATTCTGAAAAAAAAGTAATAATTGCGCGTTTATATATCATGCAGTTTTA